CAAAGCATGTTGAGATCGATTATCACTATATTAAAGAATTGGTTTTGGCTCAACTTCTCAAAGTCAAGTTCATCTGCAGTGAAGACCAATTAGCTGATCTTCACACCAAGTCTCTGTCTAAAACCAGATTTAATTATCTGTGTTCCAAGCTTCCCATTGGCCTCATTTCTGATCCCCCTTCTCGCTTGAGGGGGTGTATTAGGGAGAATGACAAGTCATCTAAGTCTGCTACTGTTAATAATTTTGTTACTGTAAATTAACTGATTGTATTAGTTGTGATTAGTTAAGATAGTTATAAAGTAGTTAGGGGTATCTATGTAAATAGCCAAAGGCTATATATATTCCTAGGCAATGTGTAAAGTTCTCAGTCAAGTAAATACAATCAAGAAAACTTACTGTTGAAGTTTTCTGTTTCTATATCTTTTCTCTTCTTGATGAACCTCATCAACCATAACCACCACCACTTGCCGTCCCTCCGGTGAATTTCACGAGGACCACCACTGACTGCTGTGACTTGTTCCCCTTTGTAACTCTCTTAACTTATCTCGTCTATCTCTCTCTGCAAGTGTAGAGATGCCAAAACCAGTCACCCTCCACTCCTCCAACGAGCCACCTTACCAGACTACCACTACTCGATCAACCACCAAACCCCAATTGAGATCGCAGCTCCCTGGGCGTGCACGGATAGGTTAGGTCCGTTTCGAAATTGATTTTCTCCAGCGCGACTCCGTCATCCTCAGCCTAGGTAAGCTTTGAGGACCATCATTTCTCTTCCTCTTAATGGAATGGTTTGATTTCTAAGTTCCCATGTGAAAAGTGAACGTGTTTTGATGCAGGAAATCTTGGGGGGGGGGGTTTTCCCCAAATTTCTAGAGATTTAAAACCATATGCCACTTGCAAGATGTTTTTCCGGCCATCTCAAACCGCAATTTGTCCCCGTGATGGTATGATCATACTCTCCTCATTACAAGCTTCACATATATAGATAGAACACTGAAAATGGCTAGGTTTTTAGCTAGAAATTAGCTCTGAAAATTGGGGGAAAAACCTGAAAAATCTGCAGAACTCGCAAGGAAGGCGAGTACAGTCGTACTCGCAGACGCATGGGCGTGCATGGACGCGTGAGGGTGGTCGGAGCGTGCGGCAACGCGTGGAGGAACCCGAGGTCCCGCCTTAGGTTTCTCGACGTGCCGAACCCGAATCCGCTGTCCGTTTTCCAAAATTCGATCATTTTAAAATAGTTATTTTATTAACCATACTTTGTACGCAAAATATGTTTATACATTAGTACGTTAAATATTTACGTTAATGGTTTCGTTTCTAGGTGAATCGCAAGGATCTTCGAAACCCGCGAGGTGGGTTCGACCCTACGACATGATCTGTGAGTGGGTCTTTGCTTGAAATATTATATATTTATTTAGTTTCCAATTATATATTTAATAACAAATTTTCTACGTACGCCTAAATTATATTAACGTTTATAAGAATTAGCGTATTGACGAAATTTACAAAATTCTGTTAAATCCTATGGAATGCACAGGTATGCATACTTTATGGGATTTTTATTTACGGCCATGATTAATATTTATTGACTATTATTATGTCAACGCGAATTATCGATTTACCATTGCATGACGACTATATTTACAATATTTGTTAATCGTGTGTTATACTGGTGTTTGTACTCGCTCGTGCCAGGGCCATGCTTTACATATACGTTCACATCGCACCGTACGCTCACTTTGGATCCATTGTAGGTGCCAGTCCTGTCCTAGATTGCAATAGGCAATTAGAACTCGTATGCGATGTGTATAACGCCAGTCTTCATGTGATTGTAGTACTAGAGCGTAAATCATTATTACACCCAGTCATGTTCATGTCAGAATATCCTTGCATGAACTCGTGTGTCAGCATATGTCAATGAGCACTCAATATGATATGTTTATTTCTACGAGATTTGATGATTTCTAGAAGTTATATGCTTATTTACGAATTTTAATATCATTTTAAGTTCTCAAGACGTTGCAGGCTACGGTAAGTATTTTCATACTAAACGTAATATGTATATTCGGAAACTATACTTATTTTACAGCGAGGGGTTATTACATTTTTAAAAGGTTTTACTAAACTTTATTTTCAGGTCTACTCACCCTTGTTTTTCGCCCTTCCAGGTTCTAGTAGCTGAGCTTTCGTATCGACGAGGATTCTTGGCAAATCTTAGTACTGAAGATTACCTATGATTGTATAATTCTGAATTCACTCTATTGTACTTTACTTATGCTCTAACATCACGTGTGGAATGGGTTCATCATGGTGCCATGGAAGTCACTCTTGTGGATAAGGGATTATAGAACTCGTTTGGAAGTGTTTTTAAAATGACTAAAAACGTTTTTAGTGAAAATGTTTTTGGTATCATGGTGTTCTATTCTTATACAAAACCAGTTGTTGAAGAAGTTCGAGGTCCTCCCAATTTCAAAATGGTAATGAAAAGGTGATTAAATGACTCAACCGTCATTGCAAACGTATGTTAACTTTCAACCTCGAGGAAATTTTTCATACTTTCACAATTACAACATAAAGGTTGTTTGGTATCTTTCTTGAATCTAATTTTTTTTTTTTTTTTTGAAACTAATGAGTATTTTGTAATTTAGCTACATTCATTTTTTTTAATTATTATATTTAAATCAAAAAATTAGATTCAACTCAATATTAACAAACAAACTCTTTAAACTTGGATTTGGATGATTAAAGCTTAAAATGAGGATTAAAACCGTTTTGTTAATGAGGATTTTTATGGAGTGAACGAAATAACATTTTCATGGCGACTTTGATCCAACACAGTTGATTTCACGGCCTATCTTCCTCTAAATTCCCTAAACCATACAATCCTTGTGCAACCAACTTCGACCAGATCCGCTCTGTTAGCACCTTTATGAAGTTCACACAGTAACACAAATCTTCTCAAAACTAGTGGTATAATTACAAACACGAAGACAACACGACTAATAAGGTTGATTCAACTCAAAGACAGAGAATTTCCTTGTCTCAAGCACAGAAATTCAAAAACCATACCGACAATCTTGATGGAAAAAACACTTGTACACCATCCAGTTTCATGGAAAATGCAACTCTATTCAACTCCAAGAATGCAAATTCTACGAGCACGGATAAATGAACACAGCTAACACAGAATCAAGACTCAATTTTCACAAATTACAACATCAAAGTTTAAACCTTTTCACAAAAAATCATACGAATTGCCCTCTCAATCACACAAAATGTCATCTACATTACGAAAAAAGCAACAGAGAAACAAAATTCGGCCTACATTGTGCAAATTCGACAGCAAGAAAACAGTAGAAGCACCGATTTATCAAACAAAACAACTATTACACCAAATTTAAGGAAAAGAGAAGGAAAAAAAAAACACAAATTATAGTCATACTATTACTGTACCATGAAAATCGAGAGTTTGTGATCACTGTCGGCTGCTATCGTAATCGACGACCTCAGAATCCGCGAGCGATCTGGAGTGCTGGACGATGGACCGTCCGATCGAGTTGATCCACTCCTCCTTCTCTTTCTCCGAATCGGCGATGAAGTACATCGTATCATGATTAGTGGTGGAGAGCTCGAAGGCGCAGGGCTTGTGCACCACGTCCTCGGCGCCCTTCACCGTCAGGCACGTGCCGACCGGAATCACGCCGCGCGGCGTCGACGAACGGGTAACGTAACTGTCCTTGAACCAGAACAGCTTCCCCTGTTTCAAGACGAACCAGCGGCGCCGCCACGTCTTGATGTAATCGCCTTGTTTGGTCAGCCAGGTGGCGCGTTCCGGGTTGGACCAGAACTCGATTCCGGTGTAGTCTTCCGGACTCGGGTCTTGGCCCGTAGCCGCCCGCCACAGGCCCTCCATTTTTTTTGCTTGGGCGGCGCGTGAGGTGGGTTTGTGTGGGAGGAGTTGAGGTTTTGGTCGGAGGTGAAACCGCGGAGGGAGAGAGAGGTTTTATGTTTTTCTGACCGGAAACAGAAATCGGTTTTTTGTTTGTTTAATTTCGCAAACCGAGACGGCCGGTTGATATCAAACGCTGTTCTGTCCCGTTGTGACCGCGGTTCAATTTGCTTAGGTGGCTTTGAAGCTTTGTACGTGGTATCATGTGTGCTACTAGAAAGTTCACATGTTACAAGAACACTAATCTACACCAAATGAATCAAAGGGGTACTGTTTATATCGAAAGTATAGTGAGTTGAAGATAAAGATTCTAATTACTAGAATGATCGACTACTTTCACTCGTTATCTAAATCATTTATTTTCGTAATGTAAGGTTTTGATACACATTGATGCATGATTGAATTTTATTGTGAGTACATGTGAAGATAAAAGTAAATGAGAGCATTAATTGATCCCTTGTAACACAATAGAAGTTTTGGTTCATGAAATTAACAGTTCTTTAAAGTTGGTATATGAGTTATCGACTACTATTACAGTTTAAAAATATTTTTATTCACTTGTAAATGAAATGTTTTAAGCATGAATGACAAAGACGTTATATATTTGTTGAGTTTAATGCCTAATTAATTATGACACATTTTGTGGCTAAACACAATTTTCTCTTCTCTTAGAGTAGAACATCCTCTACCCCGCTAAGGTAGAATATTATTTAACGTGCTTAATTATTACGTACAAGTTGGAATGTATTGGAGTTATGGCGCCAAGGAGGGCCTCGGAGCAGGCCAGCTGGGCTGAGAAAAATGGGGCAGAAAATTGGGCCGAACAGAAGCAAAGGGCTGCGCCAGTTTTTTTCAATGGGCATGTTGCCAATGATGCTGGACTGGGCCCGCAGCATTAAAGGGCCGACCACCACCACTAGATTTAAATTATTGACAAAATCCAAAAAGCACCAAAAAATGAGGTGAAGATTTTTACTTTATAGAACGAGTGGTTCTCATGTGTTGTAGATTTGTAACGCGCTTTTATTTCTACAGAAGTCATGACCTTTTAAGTCCACACGCGGTGAAGACCAGATTCTTCTGCGTCTTTGGTTGGTTGTTGTGATACATTCTCTCAACTGTGTCACAAAATTTCCATTTGCAAAGAAGAGATCGATCATGGCGCTTGCGTTGGTAGGTGGAGCCGCTCTCTCGGGTTTCTTCCAGCAAGTATTTGTGAAGTTGGATTCTCAGGAGGTCAAGAACTTCATCAGAGGAAAGAAACTGACTGATGGGTTGCTGAAGAAGTTGAGGATCGAGTTGATGTCTGTCAATGCAGTTTATGATGATGCCGAGCAAAAGCAATTACGTAACCCACATGTGAGGCTGTGGCTGCACGAGCTTAAAGGGGCAGTCCTTGATGCTGAGGACCTACTGGACGAGATCAAGACAGAAGTGTTAAGGCGGAAAATTGAAGCTGAATTTGGAAGTAGCACAAGCAAGGTACAAGACCTCATCTCTGCTTCTTTGCATGCTTTTGATGAGTCTGTAGACACCAAGATAGGGGAAATTCTTGAGACGCTAAGCTTCATTTCAAAACAAAAAGATGCCTTTGGTTTGAAAGAACGCTGTAGTCGCAGAATCTCACAAACATTGCCTTCAACTTCTTTGGTAGAAGGCTCTGATGTATATGGAAGAGATCATGAGAAGGAAACCATCAGTCAATTGTTGCTATCAGATGATGTTACTTGTAATAAGATTGGCGTCATTCCCATCGTGGGCATGGGTGGGATCGGAAAGACCACCCTTGCTCAGCTCTTATACAATGATGATAGAGTGAAGCAGCAATTTGAGCTCCAGGCATGGGTTTGTGTTTCTGATGAATTTGACGTTGTTAAGATCACACAAACAATTTATGCATCAGTCACTAAACAAACCTCTGATACCACAGACCTAAACCAGCTTCAAGTCAAACTCAAAGATGCTTTGGCGGGGAAGAAGTTTCTTTTTGTTCTTGATGATGTTTGGAACGAGAATTACAATATTTGGTGTTCCTTGAAACGCCCCTTCGAGTCTGGAGCTCATGGAAGTAAGATCATTGTCACCGCAAGGAATGGTGGTGTTGCATCTACGATGGGTACTCTTCAAACCCACTATTTAGAGCACTTACTTGAGGAAGACTGTTGGTCTTTATTTGCAAAACATGCCTTCAAAGATGCAAGTGTTATTGTAGATCCAAATCTGGAGGTAATTGGAAGACAAATTGTTAGCAAGTGTAAAGGCCTTCCTTTAGCTGCAAAATCTCTCGGTGGTCTCTTACGCTCTGAACCAAATGTGGAGGAATGGGAAAATGTGCTAAAAAGTGACATATGGGAGTTGTCAGATGAGAAGATTGAAATTCTGCCGGCTCTATGGCTAAGCTACCAGTACTTGTCCCCAGTGCTGAAGCGTTGTTTTGCTTATTGTTCGATATTTCCCAAAGATTATGAATTTGACAAGTCTGAATTAATTTTGTTGTGGATGGCCGAAGATCTTTTGCAACCCCAAAAGAAGACTAGGTTGGAAGATGTTGGAAAGAAATACTTTGATGATCTAATCTCACGGTCATTTTTTCAATACTCATCTTCAAATGATTGTTTCATCATGCATGATCTGATGCATGATTTGGCGACTTACGTATGTGGGGAATTCTGCATTAGATTGGAAGACCACGACTTCTCATTGGATGTTGTGAGCAAGGGTCGTCATTTTTCTTATATGCAATATTCATCTAATGTTGATTATGAGAGATTTGACACTATTTATGAAGCTAAGTATCTGCGCACCTTCATTCTTGGCGATCTCTATTCATTGCCGACAGTACGAGTTGATCTCCTTATAGTGCTACAGTGTTTAAGAGTTCTCAAACTCGGAGGGGATGATATCAGCAAGTTGCCTGATTCAATTAGCAACTTGAAGCATCTACGGTACCTAGACTTGTGTAACACTCCAATCCAGAAATTACCGGACACGGTATGCAGTTTGTGTAATTTACAAACGTTGTTGTTGTCAAATTGTACATTTCTAGCTGAGTTGCCCACCGATTTGAGAAGACTTATCAACTTGCGCCATCTTGATTTCAGAGGTACGAAAATAAAAAAGATGCCCCCCCACATGGGCAAGTTGAAAGATCTCCAAACATTTGGAGGTGAGTTTGTCTTGAGCAAAGATGCTGGGGGATACATTGATGAGTTAAAGGGGTTTCAGCATTTGAGTGGAAATCTTCATATTTCAGGGCTTCAAAATATCACACGTGCTGAGGATGCTTTGGAGGCCAAACTGAGGGACAAGAAGCTCAGTGAAATACATTTGAAATGGGAAGGTGACACTGCTGATTCTCAAAACGATTGCCGAGTGCTGGGCAACCTGCAGCCCGATACAAACCTAAAAGTACTGGTTATAGAAGGATACGGAGGTACAAAGTTTCCAGGTTGGTTAGGAGATGAGTCTTTCTCTAATCTCATCACTCTCCGACTTGAGACTTGTGGATATTGTTTCTTCCTGCCAGCATTGGGGCAGCTACCATCCCTCAAAAGGCTTGAAATTTATGGGTTGAATGGAGTGGAATCAGTGGGGTCTGAGTTTTATGGGGGAATTAATACTGCATTTAAATCTCTGGAGTTTCTGAGTTTCCACAGTATGCGGGAATGGCAAGAGTGGTGTTTCCATGGAGGTGAAGAAGAAGGCGGACATTTTCCTAATCTTTGCGAGCTTCGTCTGCATTGGTGTCCCAAACTAACGGGGAAAATACCGTTAGACTACTTCCCAAGACTTGAGCTGCTAAGTTTGCAGGAAGTTAATATCGAATCCCTTGCTTGCTCTCAAGAATGCAATAAATTCAATATTGAACTCCCATCCCTCCGTGTGTTGGAAATATCAAATTGCCCGAATCTAGTATGTTTTGTGGGTGGTGGAGTGTTGCTTGCGCCCAACTTGAAGGAGATATATATGTGCCGTTTTAAAAACTTGTGGTCAATGCCAGAAGATATGCAAATCTTGCTCCCATCTCTTCCATCTCTGTCCATAGAAGGGTGTAAAGAATTTAAATCATTTCCGGAAGAATCTAAATTCCCATCCCTCAAAGATTTGAAGATAATGAATTGCCCAGAATTCAGGTCACTGCCAGAGGAGATGCACGCCTCTCTCCCGTCTCTTCAGTCTCTGTCCATAAAATGGTGTAAAGAATTTAAATCATTTCCGGAAGAATCTAAATTCCCATCCCTCGATTATTTGGAGATAATGGAGTGCCCAGAATTCAGGTCACTGCCAGAGGAGATGCACGCCTCTCTCCCGTCTCTTCAGTCTCTGTCCATACACGGGAGTAAAGAATTTAAATCATTTCCGGAAGAATCTAAATTCCCATCCCTCGATTATTTGGAGATAATGGAGTGCCCAGAATTTGTGGGTTTCCCCCATGGAGGAGGACTGCAAGCGCCCAACTTGAAGAAGATGGAAATCAATGGATGTAACAAATTCAGGTCACTGCCAGAGGAGATGCACGCCTCTCTCTCGTCTCTTCAGTTTCTGTCCATAGAAGGGTGTAAAGAATTTAAATCATTTCCGGAAGAATCTAAATTCCCATCCCTCAAAGATTTGAAGATAATGAATTGCCCAGAATTCAGGTCACTGCCAGAGGAGATGCACGCCTCTCTCCCGTCTCTTCAGTCTCTGTCCATAAAAGGGTGTAAAGAATTTAAATCATTTCCGGAAGAATCTAAATTCCCATCCCTCGATTATTTGGAGATAATGGAGTGCCCAGAATTCAGGTCACTGCCAGAGGAGATGCACGCCTCTCTCCCGTCTCTTCAGTCTCTGTTCATAAAAGGGAGTAAAGAATTTAAATCATTTCCGGAAGAATCTAAATTCCCATCCCTCAAAGATTTGAAGATATGGGAGTGCCCAGAATTCAGGTCACTGCCAGAGGAGATGCACGCCTCTCTCCCGTCTCTTCAGTCTCTGTTCATAAAAGGGAGTAAAGAATTTAAATCATTTCCGGAAGAATCTAAATTCCCATCCCTCAAAGATTTGAAGATATGGGATTGCCCAGAATTCAGGTCACTGCCAGAGGAGATGCACGCCTCTCTCTCGTCTCTTCAGTATCTGTCCATAGAATGGTGTAAAGAATTTAAATCATTTCCGGAAGAATCTAAATTCCCATCTCTCTCGTCTTTGTGTATAAGGTATTGTCCAGAATTGGAATCATTTCCGGAAGGGGGATTGTCTAAATTGCGTTCACTCGAAATCGTGGGATGTAAAAAACTGATGGCAAACCGTATGCGGTGGGGTCTACAAACATTCACCTCTCTCGAAAGCTTGCATGTCGGCTTCTCAGGATGTGAAGAAGAAGAAATTGGCGAATCATTTCCAGAAGAGGGGCTGCTGCCAACCACTCTCACTTCTCTCAAAATCTTCCACCATCCGAATCTGAAAACAATTGACGGCAAGGAGTTAAGACACCTCATCTCTCTCGTGATGTTGAAGATTTGGTTTTGTCCTCGACTCCAGAGCTTGCCAGATGAAGGGCTACCCACTTCTCTTTTTGTTCTAGATATCCGCCAGTGTGATTTGCTAACACAACGGTGCCAGAGAGACACGGGAGAAGACTGGGCCAAGATTTCTCACATCCCCAACGTAGTGATTGATTACGAAGAGATATGATTTGCAATGGTACGTAATTCATCAACGTGCGTTTATGTGTTTATATACGATCTGGCTGTGTAAATTTTAAATCATAAATATGTTTCAAATGTTAATGTTCACATAATAACAAATTTTACAGGTACTCTTGTCCCATATAAACTTGAAAGTATTTGCGATAGAAAGATACGGAGCTACAAAAATTCCAAATCGGTTAGGAGATGACTTGTTCGTTCTCTCATCTTGTTACTCTTCGACTTGTGGATTGTGAACATTGTTTTTCAATGCCAGCATTGGCACAGCTACCATCTCTCAGAAGGCTTGAAACTGATGGGTTAAATGGAGTGGAATTGTTCCTCTTTTCTTATTGTGTCTTACGGTGGTTCTATTATACGACAGTTTTTGAGCTCTAGTTTTCGAATTTCCTTTTTCAAGTTTGTTTCCAAATTATGTCTATTGAGAGGTAGATTTTGGTACTTTGTGGGAATTCAAATGTTTGGTTTGTAAAATATGGAGGATGATTTCGTTTCTGTTGGACTGTGAATCTATGATCATGCTTGAATGTTGTAAGACCAGAGTATCGAAAACCTCTGTTGTTAACTAATCTATCTCAAGCGGTCTAAATTCGATTTGTTTAATTAGTATTGCAAGATGATCTTATCTACTAATCATGTCTTATCAAATGATTACCATTTCATCATGCCCTTAGGGATGCATAGAGCTTCAAAAGTTTTCAAGTTGCTTCGCATGTGTAGGTTTGAAGTCGTGCAATGATATGTAAGCAAAACTTATGAACAAACAAAAGTAAACAACTCTTATACATAAATGTTGGCTGCCAGAAAATCTCAGTAGTACCAGAGAAGATAAGCTTGTAATAAATTTCTAATTCTCAAAACAGAGGAAACAAGAGAAAGAAGATCTATACGAGTCCATCAATACCAGCAATTTTCCCTGTTTGATGCCTCTGTGGGTAGATGATATTTGGGAATCGAAATCTGAAACCAGTACAAGAGGAAGGAGATCAGCTTCTCATAACAGTAACTGCACGTAGGTGATCCAGAAGTTATTGCTTCAGCATGATTCAGGGGCATCCTCGTTCAATCAATTTCTCTGTTGTTCAACTTTGCAAGCCATTCTGCAATAACATCCTGCAATGTTCTCCCCAATTGTGCAATACACTTCTCAGTGATAACTTGTTCATGTCGATTGTTTTCATGAGCTGAGATTGATTTAAAAGTCTCGCGACAGCACACACGGTGAGAATCACTTTGTGAAACCCTTTGCGCATGCCAATATGTACTGCAAAATGCCTTATCACATCCTAAACAGTGTTGAGGTACACTGTTATTGGTGCGTGAAGGCATCATTCCTCCGCATGCTTGACATTGCAGATGGATAGTGGTTTGATTGCAGCGGAACCCACCATATTCAGTACCACATTGAGGGCATGGATTTGATGGATTATCAGCTTCTTCATCCACCTGGGAGCAAGCCCTTTTTCCGCGAAGATGTTTTCCAGAGTTTACGACAAGATTAGATTGTATTGTTGCATAAGAATCTAAAATTGCCACTTCATCATTGGTGCGTTTTAGTGAATAATCAACTTTTACTATTTCATCCGCAACGTTAAGCAAGAAGTGATTTCTTCCAACAACTGTACAATAGCTCGACAATGGGGACAGAGTACACTTGAACGTTTCTCCAGTGATCTCTTTAACCACTCTGCGAAGCACCCGTTACAGAAATTATGGAAGCAAGGAGCAACGGTAACTACATCATGCCATATGTTCAAGTAAATGCAGCATATTGTATGCTCGGCATCCATAGAAATCTTTAACTTCTTCTGACAACTTTCAGGACCAGGCAATACGTTGAACTTGTAGCTTAAATACCCTTCCTTATCGGGACCTGAAGTAATTTCACTTCCGCATCGGATAACAATAGTGTCTTCAGCTTGGATTAAAGTCCTGTCAACAACTATCGCATCTGAACTTTTATTTTGTATTGTGGCAGAAGAGTGGTCTGAATTCCTTGTTATCTTGCACCACTTGCATTTGCGAATAGAAGAGAACAAGATCTCTGAGCAAACTACAATCTCACATGAACTAATCTCAACATCCGGATATCTCGAGTCTGATGGAACGAGCTTGGCCCAGAATTCTTCACAGGGTTTTGTTCCCAAGCCCTCTGCAACTTCTGCCAACCCTTGAATATATTCACAAAGGACCCAGGAACCTTTAATTTAGATCTCAAAGATACGTAACCGGCCATTGTTATGTTCATTAAAAAAGAAACAAATACTTATATATTCAACTATTTATGAGCAACAGAGCAATTTTAATTGCTAATTATAAAACAAAATCTTTACCACGAAAAGAAAACAGATTTGCACTCAAACAAGACAGATTCATGAAATATGCTATGGTAACGCCCCAAACATTTCAACAGCGATAAACAGAACAACTTCATGTTTCAGACATCCGACAACTACATAAATTGGATCGTAAACATTCCAACTAAACGTAAAAGCTCTTAACTCAGAGCATAACCACATGCTAGCAAAATTCATGGAAGATAGTAAGTGCCAATTAACAAGAGAGTCAAAAAGGCTTGAGGAGAAGGGGTCCCCAGCAGCGGCATCATTTCTGGCCGGAAAAGGTTCATTCTAGTAATATAATTTATACCACAGAACACATACAAACGGATTTAAGGGGTTTTGTAATTCGTGGACGGGTGGAGACACAATTGTCACTCTAAAAGAGACACTTTCACTTGGGAAAACTGGAAACAATAGCCAAAATTTAACCCCTAATCATGGAAAATGAAAGAAAGTTTGCAACTTTAGCCAAAGTTTGATCCTTTAACCCCCTCCCAGTAACATTTGAACCAATTCGAGCAGTAATTAAACTCACAAATTCTAGAGAATGTTACAAGTGAACAAGATTTACCAAAATTTCCAGATTTGTACACAAAATATCCAGGCATAACAGGATCAACGAACGAAGACTCTGCAAGATCAATAGCGCGGGCAAGCGCAGCAGCTTTGTTCTCACACTTCCTCTGCTCATCAGCTGGATCGCTGTCAGCGACAATTCCTGCCCCGGCTTGGAGATGAGCAACCCACTCTCTGCGCTTGTTTGCATCCTTGTATGAATACATTGTATCATACCGAAAGCTAGTTGGGAAAACAATAGTTCTCAGAGCAAGGGCGATGTCCATGTTGCCAGAAAACGAAATTCCCCCAAAGCCACCACTATATGGACCACGTCTAATCACTTCCAGCTTATCGATCAGCTCCATGGCTTTCACCTGCATTGCAGTAAATGAGGAAACTCGAAAATCCTAAGCGAGTCCATATAAGATGGATTAGGAAATCACGACATCATGTTCCATATATCAACCAATAGTGGTGTAATAAGCCGATTACTAACTGATTAGGTTAATCCTCAAGATTTGTACTTGCAGGATTATACAGGTTAATTAAGTCTAGGATAATTTAAGCTAACTAATACGAAATAAAACAAGAATGCCAACAAAAATGAAAAAGGGCTCATGATGAAAACCTTCGGTGCTCCACTGACAGTCCCAACCGGCAACGCAGTATGCAGAACATCCCAGCTAGTTAAATCATCAAGTAACTCTCCAGTGACCTTCAATTACATTAAACCTCCATCCCCTTAATTCAATTGGTTCTTGAGTACATTACACTGATGAATATAGATATAGACTTAACAAGAAAAAAATTCTGAAACTAATGTCTCAGATGCGCAAATGTGTCCCCAATCGTTATAGATATTAGGTTACTTATTATGTTATCGAAAGGAGATACTTACTGTTGAAAAAAACAGATTGATAAAAATTTATAAATATAAGAAAGAGTAATCACGTAAGCCATGAACAGACAAGGCACCAAGTGTAAATTTATTAAGCTAATGTTGAAATATACATTAAATACTTTTACCCGCCATGGATTGAAAACAGATACCGCGGAGAATAAAATTTAGCATATGCATGGTTTTACACTCTGGAGAATAAAGTTCAACATACAGTAATAATCATACAAATACGAGAAGGGAAAGATAATAAACCTTCCCGACATCATTCCTCCCCAAGTCTACAAGCATAATATGCTCTGCAAATTGCTTTTCATCATTCAAAAGCTGCTTTTCCAGCAATAAATCCTCTTTAGGTGTTTTTCCTCTTCTAACAGTCCCAGCAAGAGGCCTGTTTGTGATCGTTTGCTATTAACAAAAATAAGAAATGCATAGCTCAGCAACATATAGCTAATGAAGATTACAACACTATCGTAGGGAAGCAAAAGGGACCAAAGAAGACATAAAATGTAGGGATCTTATAGGAACCATCGTAGAGGTTTAAGAGCTAGCAACAGAATAACATGAACACTCAGATGTTAAAATTTTTTGGACTTCCTTGACTTACCTTCTTGACACGTGTCAGAATTTCTGGACTTGAAGCAACCAGAATACAGCCTCTAGCCTGATCATGGAAGTATATACTCATATAATCTTAGAATTACAAGATGAACAAGTAGACTGGAACCAATGACTCGCTGAAAACGAGACAAACCTGTAAGTAAGTCATATATGGACTTGGATTAACTATCCTCAATGCTCGGTAAACTTCAAATGGGTCTGCAAATGTTCGCCTCTCAAAACGCTGGCTTAATACAATCTGAAATATATCCCCAGCTAGAATGTGTTCTTTAGCTTCCAACACTGCCTCCTTATATTCCTCCCTGTTTGATGCCTCTTGGGGGGAATCTAAATCCGAAACCAGCAGAAGAGGAAGGAGATCAGCTTCTCATAACAGTAATTGCACGTAGGTGTCCCAAAAGTTATCGCCTCAGCATGATTCAGGGGCATCCTCATTCGATCAATTTCTCCGTTGTTCAACTTTGCAAGCCATTCTGCAATAACATCCTGCAATGTTCTCCCCAACTGCGCAATACACTTCTCAGTGATCACTTGTTCACATCGATTGTTTTCATGCGCTAAAGTAGGGATTCCAGATATGGTCCGTTCTGAGGTTGGTTTAAAATTCTCGCGACTGCACTCATGGTGAGAATCAAATCATGAAACCCCATGCGCATGCCAATATGTACCACAAAATGCCTTATCACATCCTAAACAGTGTTGAGGTACACTGTTATTGGTGCGCGAAGGCATCATTCCTCTGCATGCTTGACATTGCAGATGGATAGTGATTTGATTGCAGCGAAACCCATCATACTCAGTACCACATTGAGGGCATGGATTTGACGCATTATCAGCTTCTTCATCCAACTGGGAGCGAGCCCTTTTTCCACGAAGATGTTTTCCAGAGTTTACAACAAGATTGGATTGTATTGTTGCGTAAGAGTCTAAAGTTGCCACTTCATTGTTGGAGCGTTTTAGTGAAGAATCTGCTTTTAGTATTTCCCCCGCAATGTTAAGCAGGAAGTGATTTCTTCCAACAAACTGTATCTCTTTAACCACTCAGACAAGCATCCGTTGCAGAAATTAAGGAAGCAAGGAGCAATGGTAGCAACATCATGCCATATATTCAAGTAAACGCAGCATTTTGCATGCTCGACATCCATAGAAATCTTTAACCGCTTCTGACAAGTTTCAGGACCAGGCAATACATTGAACCTGTAGCTCAAATATCCTTCCATATCGGGACCTGAAGTAATTTCACTTCCGCATCTGATAATAATAGTGTCTTCAGCTTGGATTACAGTCCCGTCAACAACTATTGCATTTGAACTTTTATTTTGTATTGTGGCAGAAGAGTGGTCTGAATTCCTTGTTATGTTGCACCACTTGCATTTGCGGATAGAAGAGAACACGATCTTTGAGCAAACTGCAAGCTCATCTGAACTAATCTCAACATCTGGATATCTCGAGTCTGATGGAACAAGCTTGGCCCAGAATTCTTCACAGGGTATGCAAGATGCTCTAGTACCACTTAACTACCTCATTATTTCCGATAAGATACGGAGGCTATGAAAACAACTGATGCTCAAATCCAACATGCAGGAGAGATTGAATACTCAAAAGTTATTTATCATATCATATGGCAACAATCAAGTTTAGTATGAGCAGATCCACTACAGAATATTTGTAATCAATCAATTTCAACTTTGCGCGACAACTTCCAAGTTGACACACTCCAATATGACAAGCACTGAAGGCTCCAGTATGTGTAAGCAAGTAAAGATGTAGTACAGACTAATGGTATAATGTGCATCCGACATATTATATAGCACCCCACTTACATGACTTGGAGGGATTTACTTTCCACTTAGCAGATCTAGAGCAACATTGCCAAAGCTATAAACAACACTTTCTGGAGACTCTTCCCAGAGTGTAAATAATCAACCAGTAAAGTCAGCATATCTCAAGCAGAAAAAGTTCTTTAAATATAGTAACAACGAAATGATCAAACGGATGAGTAGTATTTCGACTAGAAAAGTTATTACATTCTTAAATATTCAGGCCAAAACATGAAAGGCGAGGGTCACCATCCTACAAGTCCATCCAAACGCTACATTATCACCCTAAAAAATGGTAATGGACACGGACATGACTGAAAATACATATATTTTTAACTAAGATGATCGAATCTGAAAAAGGCATACCTCGTCAAAGAGAACCCTATAAGCATTCAAATCATGGTATAACGGACGACCCTTAGTACTACGATAACTAAAACTTTAGCAATATAAATAGCCACGCTTAAATGCATGGTCCACTCAATGGTTTGGTTCTCCTTTTATGAAAAAGCAATGACCAAAAATTAATCTTCAACAAATACAGCCACTAATTCTCAATTTGGAGGAACAAAACTCAAACATTGAATTGATTGCTTATGCAAATCTTGAGAAATTAGCAGTATGAAGACAAGCACAGTACATCCACACTAGATAGAAGACTACACTAAAAAGTAAACACCACACCCCCACCACGACTTCTCTAAATGAAAGGCAATGTTAAACATCATCTAGGATTAGCAATACTACCAGGTAAGATTAATGGCCTAACCGTTTCGTGTTATACAAAACTAATGTCAACGCCATCTTGCATTTCATTGATTGTTTGAAAACTATATATTTGGAAGTACTTCACAAAAGGTTCATCCAGAAATCTTAGAAGCTAAGCTAAAAGGTAGCATTCTTGATACAACAGCTAAAGCCAAAGACGAGAAAGCAAAAAAAAAAGGTTGGATTTTGTTTAAAGTACAGTGGGACAAATGCTTAGCTAAAGTATCAGTAGGCAGGTACTCAATAACTAGCAGCCTTTCACCCCCATCACGACAATACCCAATCAAATTCGGATATCAAGATTATGATATCCGTAAGAGTTTGAAGTACAAAATCATAACAATGATAGGACGTATCCAACTGGGATAAAGAATTACCTGCACCCTAACACCACCATGTTTCCTCCAAGTCTAATCAGATATTTCTATCTTCCCCATAAGTAAACGGTCTATATTTAGTGGATCCCAAATTGTGTGGTTTGCCCTGCCTGCAGATGACAAGCACATGATCCAATAGCACTTGCCTACTGAAAGTGCATCAAAAAGGTTTAATCAAACCTTCCCCTCCACAATTAGTCCATGCTCATGCATCAAAATACACAAAAAATATTATAGGGACTGTTATCATTGAAAAACTTGAAAGTAGAATCTAAATAGATTATCGAACTGTTAACTTGTTCTTTCCATACTAACTGGAATTATAAGTTGTATCATTTGTTCAAATAAACAAAGAAATCTACCGAATTTTTGAAATGCCTCTGTTCATATATCAGGATTTTAAAATCAATACAATGACTTAAAATACAAGTTTCTTTATTTTGAGTTCTTCGTAGACGCTATAACCAATACCAGGATCTTAACTAAAATCCAATACAAATGTAAGCAAAAAACAAATCAGGATTGAATATAAGAGGGAAGAATCTAAATACTGAGCAAAAAGCTTCACACTTGGGCAGCCATTTTTGTCAAAATGTACTGCATATCAAAGGTCCCAGAAAAATAACCCAACAACCCACAAGTAGAGATAAATCACGAAGAAAACAGTTCATATAAAAATTCAGAAATTTATACAATAATCCATCAGAAATTTCCAGAAAATTTCACCAACACAGACGCCAAAATTTCCCAAATAACAATAATCCAAAACAAAACAGTGAGTACCGATGTACACCAGAGAAGGTGCGAATTCGACAGAGATTTCCAGTTGAAAGGGTGCGACGTAGAGCAGAGAGTTGAGAGAAACGAAACAGTGAGACGCGAGGGAGAAGAGCAAAGCATCGAGATCGGAGAGCTAAGAGAGAAGCTGGTACGGTAGCAGTGGATCTTGGTGGGCCTAAAAGGCCAGATGCGGTAGTGGACCTCGGAGCACTCCAGCTGGGCTGCGGAGAATTGAACGGAAATTGGGCCAAGCGCCAGTTGCTGCGGATGGGAATGTTGCTGATGATGCTGGACTGAGCCCGCAGCATTCAAGGGCTGCGCCAGTTGCTACGACCAACACCGCGTGAATTATTGACTTTATAATAACGAGTGGTTTTATTTCTACACAAGTCATCACCTTTGATGTCCGGGAAGACGCGACCCTCCTGGGTCTTTGATTAGTTGTTATACATTCTCTCAACTCTGTCACCAGATTTCCATTTGCAAAGAAAAGATTGATCATGGCGTTGGCGGTGATAGGTGGAGCCGCTCTCTCGGGTTTCTTCCAGCAAGTATTTGTGAAGTTGGATTCTCAGGAGGTCAGGAACTTCATCAGAGGAAAGAAACTGACTAATGGGTTGCTGAAGAAGTTGAGGATCAAGTTGAATTCTGTCAGTGCGGTTTATGATGATGCCGAGCAAAAGAAATTACGTAACCCACATGTGAGGCTGTGGCTGCAGGAGCTTAAAGAGGCTGTCCTTGATGCTGAGGACCTACTGGACGAGATCAAGACAGAAGCGTTGAGGCGAAAAATTGAAGCTGAATTTGGAAGTAGCACAAGCAAGGTACAAGACCTCATCTCTGATTCTTTGTATGCTTTTGATGAGTCTGTAGACACCAAGATAGAGGAAATTCAATCAACGAAACAAACAAAGAGAAGGGCACTTCCAGAAGAAAACCGAAAAAAGTAACCACAGCGGAAAGTTACCAGCATTGACGCTGGTCGTGGCACCGCCTTGGCGCCAATTGATGAGGCTACGAGCGTCGAACAGTCTGTCAGATCCTCCCCTTGCAGCTCTCTGTGGCTTATCTTCATCACTCTTCATCACGAACCCGAAGGGCTTGAAGAGTAATTTCGCCACCGCCTACCCCTTAAAGAGCGAGTTGAGCAGCCCGAGGACAACGAAAAGAACAACGGCGCCGTACTTGAACTTGAAGAGCAAAAGGAGGGGAAAGAGCGAAAACAAAATCACACTGGATTTCCCGAGGTGCGATGTACGAGGTGCGAAGGCGACAGAGAAACCAGTGTGTGAAGAAACGAGGAGGGGCAGTATGGAGAAACGCGACCGAGGCGCGAGGACAGCATTTACTGAGTCCAAGGAACCATCCACACTCGAGAGCAGACAGAGAGATGGTGACTTGTTACCGACCGTAACTACGTGAGGTAGTGTGAATATTATAGCTGGAAGCACTAAAAATAGGCCCAGATGCGCGAAGTCGGGCCTGGGGAGCATCTCTAAGCCCAAGGCTGGGCTGTAGTAGAAGACACATAGTCTGGCACCCAGAGCAGCGTACCTAACAGGGCTGGAACCTATGTCGTTGCTCGGGATGCCCTGGAATATCGTGCTGATTTAAGCGAGCAATTCGCGTCTTGTCAACTGAAGCATTTTCTTCATCCCTCTTCCGTGAATTGCCCGGCCGCCCATTCTTTGACTCCTATGTAAACCGGGGCATCGTCGGGCGAACTAGTATCTGCTCTCGCCCACCATACTGTGATTTTGAAGATCATATACGGCCCACGCGCCCAGCGGCAAACTTGAAGTCTGTCCTGGTCACCCTCCGGCGCCGGTTTGTGTGCATGGAACGGGCGACCCGCATGCAAATTCTACAGGACTCGCTGGGTTAACTGGCTCAAGCTCTCCGCGCGTAGAGGGAAGGGCCAGGTTCTATCGACGGCAAACACCCCTGCGCATATGGAATTATTTGTACAACAATTTTTCCGATCCTTGCAATTTCAGGTAGGAAAAGAGATTGATCCATGGGCGTTGAGAGGATTCGGTTACTTCTGCAGATCCTTCCTCCGGGTCTTTTGGTTGTTGTTACATGTCTCTAACTCTGTCACCAAAAATCCATTGTGCAAATGAAAAGTATCTGGATCATGGCTGTTGCACGATGGTAGGTGTTCAGGCCGCTCGATCTCGGTTTTCATGGCACAGCGAAGTATTGGTGAAGATTGGTGATTCTTCGATGAGGTCAAGTATGGAATGTCCATCAGAGGAAAGACACAACTGAGAAGCTGACAGGGGATGATGCATCAAGACTCTCGTTTCGACCCGCCTCACGGTAACTTACCTACCGAGGATTCACGATATTCTTTATGTTGTGAGCACGACATCGTCGCGTGGTCATAGATGAAGCTGGATGCCCGAGCAAACGGCAGATTTTTCGGGACGTTTATCATGGTCATGTGCTGCAACATTTGGCTGGTATTGGGGG